AGGTGGCTCCTGAGGGGGTTCCTGGACAGGCACCGTGGCTCTCAGGGTGCTGGTGACAAAACCATGAGTGTAGTTCCTCCCTGCCTTTGAAGACTCCACAGTGAGGCACACCCACAGCCTCCTCCAAGGCCAACAGGGATCGCTCTTTGCCCAGACGGCTGGGCTTCTGAGCTCTGGGGCTGCTCTGTTCACAGCAGTGTGCCAGGAAAAGAACAGAGGGCTGGCCCTGGGTGGGACCCCAGCTTCTCAAGAGGGCCGTGCCCAGAACAGTTGGGGACTGACACTCTCCGTGCTGAGGTCCCATCTTTGGTGACTCAGGCTCCCACGCTGTTCCAGCCTGCCGAGTAAGCAGCCACCCTGCCCCTCTGGGAGAACTCTCCATGCCCATGCTGTGTGTTTCCTCATGGGCACCTTACTGGGAGAGGATCTGAGCTGCCTAGCCCTGCCTGACCAAAAGAAACCCCAGCAAGATGCAAGAGGGCTGCTATGTCTGCTGCATGAGCGCCCCTCTGGTGCTGAACAGGCAGTGGTAGGTGCTAAAAATGGCCCGTGGAACCTGTCCTTTCACTGTCCTTTCTTGGGAAAGCCTTGTGCAGGCCCTAGAGGCACAAGGACCCCAGAAGTTGTGTGCACACTCAATTTCATGTGAAGGCCGTGGGGAAATCCCCTTGCTGAAGGTGACCCTGTTGGGCACCTTGCTGGGTGTGTGACTCACAGGACAGAGCAGGGTGTGCCCCGAGGGAGAGCTAGTTGGGCCGGCCCCACCTTGCTGCCAGAAGCTTGGTTTCAAAATGGGCTAATAGCTGGGCACACAGACACTCTTTTCATCTTGTCCTGCCCAGCACATACGCAACTGCCGAGGAGCCAGGCAGCCTCTGTCTGGTCAGCCAGAGCTAGAGCAGAACTCTGTGGGACTCACTGTGGACCGCTGTGGACCGAACCCAGGCTCTGACACCAGCACAAGTTAGTGGACCCTGTCTTGAGCCCTCTTCCCTTCTAGGAGCTCACTTCATGTATGGTGGCCTGGAGGCCATGAGAACCCCAGTGCCTAGCAACCAGAGCAGAGTCTGCACCCTTAGCACAAAATTTCACAACCAGTCACAGCACCCCTTTCTGCGAGCATTTGCAGGGAGCCCAGCCCTGTGCTTGACATCATTAAGAGCTTGGAGGAATGACAGGAGCCCACATTAGCAACTAGAGAGCAAACAAGACCACAGGTAACTAGGTGTGTGAAGGACACTTGAGGTTATGGCAGAGCAGGCTTGAAGAGATGAGGTTTGAGCACAGTCCTGGGGGGCAAAGGTCAGATTTGCAAGCAGGAAGGCCAGGAGAGAGACACAGGACAGTGATGAGGCTTACTGAAGCAGAGGCACAGGTTGTAGCTGCTGTCCTGGGACGGTGTAAGGGGCTGTACTGGGAGGGATAGAGATGGCTGGGTAGGTGCTTGCCTTGTAAGAAGCAGAGACATTGTAAACTGTCCAGCAATGCCAGGTGCCAGTGGAAGCATCCCTTGAGGGAAGCGAAGGCAAAGGCATTACGAGGCAGGGACCAGAGCCCCAGCGGCTGGCTGGAGGCAAGTAGGAGGCACTGGGGAGACCCAGGGGGAAACTGAGGAAAGTCATGACCACAGTCTGTGCAGTGGGGAAGGGGCAGAAAGGATTCTCAGATGGAAAGACAGACAGACACCATCTCTTCTGAATAGCTGTGGAATGACCTTGGATAAACTGGAGCTTTTCCCATTTGAGGCCTCCTCAGAAGAGAGAGGAGCATTCAGTTTGGAGTTAAAAGAGCACACTTCTCCAAGAAGGGGAGAAAGATACCTAAGTCATCAGCAGAAAGAGAGAACAGGATTGGGCTGGGGAGGCCCCCAGCAGGAACAGTGTTCCAGGCCTGTCTTAGCCTATTGTTCTGACTGTTGACCCCCAGGACCCTCATTGGAGTCCAAGTGGAGAAACTCTGGGTGCGCCCTCATTTCAGCCCATCCAGCCTAGCCTATTCTCTGGTTGAATGGTCAGCCCTGCTCCTGGGAAGCTGAGTTTCTAGTCTGGAATGTTCTGATCCGTGGATCATCCCACCTGAGGCTGGAGTTTCCCAAAGAACCATGGGATAGCCAGACAAGGAGTGTGTGTCTGTGTGTGTCACTGTCCTTTATATTCAAAGAGGAGGCTGCCAGCAGAGTATCTGAGTGTGGGGCTGGGCATTGGCCACAAAGTTCCCTTACCTGCTGCCCACGTGTGCCCATTGCCCACACAGTCTCTTCTGGCTCCAGCTGCTCACTTGGGACCAGGAAGAGTGTTTGGAAATGCGGGGAGGGAGCATTTTTGCTAATCATAATGACAGGTATTGCTAGCACTAAGTATCCTGTGATGTGTGGGGCATCCTACAGGATGAAGACTTGCCCAGCCTCAGATGCCAGCTCCAGCCACAAAAGGAAATACTGTTGTGTGAGTCCCAGCGGGAGACTTGAGGAATACTCTTGGATCCCCAAGACACTGCTGCCATCTCAGCCTACCACTGGCTCACAGACCGTCTGTGCAGGGAGGGCTAGTGGCAGCCAGCCTCCTCTGAGCCTCGTGGGTCTGGGGGAGGGCAAGATCTAGCTGAGAAGTTTCTCTCCTGCTTGTCAAAGTGACAGCAAAGGGACACAGTGATGGCAAAGAGCCACCCACAGCTATCCACAATCGCCATAGTCAGACGACACGGGCCACCAGCACTGTGACTCAAGGAGCCGGGGTGGGGTGCCCAGGAGTAGATGATGCCATTGGGGTGTGGCTGTGGGGGGGCTGGCAGATGCAGCCCCTCCTTGCCGTTCCCCTGGGGATGCACCAGAGCCTGTTCCTGGGGGGCAACCTATCCCAGCTGAGACTTGCCAGGGCTGCTGCTGCTCCTTTTCCCAGGCGGAGAGCAAAGCCCAGAGCCTGTGTCAGGCCTAATCAGCATGATCACATCTTCTCTGGATTTGGGCCAGGCGAGCATCTGGACTTCTCATCAGGTGTCTGATATGATGTCCAAGTGTGTCATTTACTGAGAACAAGGGAGCTCCTTGTTGCATTTCCTTCTAAGGCTTGGTCTGTTGTTGGAGAGGCTCAGCTTTCCCTCCAAAGTGCCACCTTCCACCTTCCTTCCCCAGAGAAGAATGCAGTGTGGCTACGGCCAGAATCAGTGGAGGCCTTGTTGCATATTTTTCGTGTAAGCTGCAAGGTGCCCACTCCATGTCCAAATGCTCAGGAACTCCCAGCTCCTCCTCCTCTGCCTTGTTATTGTCCATTTGTGCCTTTCCAACCCACAGACACCAGTTTCCTTTGGGGTAGGTTGGTTTGACCCAGTTCGAGCAAGAAAATTTCGACTGCCTGAGTACACAGCTGGCCGCGTGGGTGAGGGGATGCAATGCCATTGCCAAGGTTAACAGTCTGTGGCTCCTGAGTTTTGGATATGACTTCTAACTGGCAGCTTGACACAGTCATTCTGGGAGCTTGAACCATGGGTGTTTCCTGCTTTCTGTGACTTCTTGAAGAGTTGAAAGAGGACCCAGGAGGGGCCAGGGATTTAGCTCAGTGGTGCCACGCCTGCCTCACAAGCACAAGGTCCTGCGTTCAATCCCTGGTACCAAAAAAAATAAAAGGAGGACCCAGGTGAAGGCCAGCCCCTCCCCCAGTTGTAATGGCTAGATGTGGTGTAGAGGGGGAATTGCCCAGACGCTCCCCCCCCCCCGTCTCTGTCTCCCCACCCCATCCCCTGGGTGGGGCAGGCAGGTTCTGGGCTGGATGTGGGTCTGGCTTATCCCAGCAAAGGCGAGTCCCAAGTCAGCACCTGTGTAGAGACATTTTATCAGGTTCCATGTTGATTTTCTTGTATGAGGACAAGTCCCAGCAGGCCAGACCCACCAGCTTGCAAGCTCCTGGGAAAGTCTTCCTAGGACAGTTCTGGCCCAGAGCTAATCCCACTGAGGGTCTGGCATTGCAGACTCCTCCCAAGGAGGCTAACCCCATCCTGGGCTCACAGAGACTTGGGGATGCCTCACTGTCCAGGGTACATTTTCCTATTGGGTTGAGCTTTTGCCAGAGTCTCACTGCTGCCACCTTAACAGTAAAGCCTAGAGGTCCACCATGTGTGCCACCCCAAGAGCACTGGGGCCTCCTCTAGGTGCCAATGGGTCCCGAGGGCCAGCTCCTATAATAGAGGCCTGGGAGCAGGAATATGGTGCCTCTGGGGCCTTTGAGAGGCCCTTGAGGCTTGTTACCAGTTGCTTGCTGCACTGGCAAAAAGGAGACAGCATGAGGAATATAGCAGAAAATGACAGTGGCAACAGCTGTGGCTGGAACAGACATTTCTGAGCCCTGCGTACAAATGACCCAGGAGGGTTGGGTGTGTTAAAAGCTGCTGGGGTCTGGGAGTGACCCAAGGTGACAGGGTGAGGTCCCGAGACCCAAGTTCAAGTCTCGCTTTCATCCTCACCTCACCAATGGACCATGGGAAGCCCCTCCTCCCTGGGCCTGCAGCCTCCTGCAGAACTTCCCCCTGGTGGCCAGATTGATGGCTGTCACACTTTGTTGGTGTGACAGTAAGAAGTATTTTCACATTGCAATCCTGTACTCATTCACTGTTGCACAAAACCACATGTGCACTATGATCTGGTGTTTTATATTCCCAGGTATATTATTTGATACTTTTTTTTTTTTTTGCTACCAGGGATCGAACTCAGGATCTTGCGCTTGCAATGCAGGTGCCAGAACCACTGAGCTAAATCCCTGGCCCTGATACTATTTTTAATAATAATGAGCACAATCCACTACAGTGATTTCCTAATCCATAGTGAGTTGCAACCTGCAGTTTAAAAGGTAACCTAGAGACGATGGCTAAAGTTCCTTCCTCTCCGAACATTCCTGGCTTTTCTGAACCTTACTAAGGGAACCAGGAAAGAGCTGTATTCTCCGGCCAGGCAGGTCCAGGATTCCCCCATCAGGAAGCCTGACTCAGCCTCTCTCCTTTCCCTTGTCCAGATGTTCAATGGGACCCTCAAGCGGGAGCCAGACAACAGGCGCTTCAGCTCCTACAGCCAGATGGAGAACTGGAGTCGCCACTATCCTCGGGGCAGCTGTGCCACCCCTGGCGCAGGCAGCGACATCTGCTTCATGCAGAAAATCAAGGCAAGCCGCAGTGAGCCCGACCTCTACTGTGACCCGAAGGGCACCCTGCGCAAGGGCACGCTGACCAAGGGCCACAAGACCACCCAGAACCACTATAGCTTCTACAGCACCTGTAGTGGCCAGAAAGCCACCAAGAAGTGCCCTGTACGCCCACCCTCCTGTACCTCCAAGCAGGACCAAGTGTATGTGCCGCCCATCTCCTGCAACAAAGACTTGTCCTTTGGCCACTCAAGAGCCAGCTCCAAGTGAGTGCTATTGGGCTCAGGCGGGGCTAGCCAGGACCCAGGTTGGGAGCAAGGGCCAGGTTGGGAGGACCCAGGGCCTCAGTGACTTCTCAGCATGAAAGGGTGACAGAACCTGACCTTGAGTATGCAGCTTTTAAAGGTCACAGGTTATGAACAGAGGGAGGTTCCCTAGAGAAGGCTAGAGGGCCAGTGGTTCTCCAAGTATGTTTAGCCCTGCAGCAATATCGCCATTCCTTGGGAATCATTAGAAATGTTCCTTTATGGGCACATCAGTCCTACTGTCTCAGAAACGCTGGGAGGGGCCCACCGATGTGTGCTCCAGAAAGCCGCCAGGTGACTGATTCACACCAGTCTGAGATCCACCAGTCTCAGGCATGGCGATCTTGATCCATGTTCCAGAAGAGCAAAGGAAGGTTCCCCAGCGTAGACTGCAGACTGGGTTATGGGTTGTGTTATAAAATGGGTGAAGTTTAAAGGACATAAAAACAGAGGGACATGGTCTAGTGCTGAGGAGCAGAGTATAACTCTGCTCTGCAAGTGTTAAAGAGCCATTGCCCGGTGGGCGTGGAGACCCAGTGTGGTGCCCTGTAAAGCCATGGGCACAGAAAAGCTGAGGACCACAGTGTTATGCATGGCACTGAGCTTGCCCATCAGGCTCAGAGGTCCAGGAACCGTCCAGCTGTCCTGTATCACTTATTGATCATCATTCATTTATTTGGCAAGTGTTTACTGAAATCTACTACATGCCAGACTCTGCGGTGAGCTCAGGGAATACAGCCAAGAATTAATTATTCTTCACAAGGCCCTAGGAGATCTGCATACTTCGACCAGCACAATCCCTTCCTGGCAGGCATTAGCTTCCTTGAGGAGGGAATAAGGCACAGAGATGTTAACTAACTTGCCCAAGGCCACAAAACTGACTCTCTGTCCTTTGCTCTTTCCTACTGATACCACACTATTCTGAAAATAAGGAGACCCCCATTATAAATCTATGAGTTAAACAGTATCATTTGGAAAAAGATTAAGAACTCTCACCCTCAGAGACTGATCAGGGCAGCATTTGGCTCCACCCGGAGGCCATGAACGGAGGGTCTGGGTGAGCTACAGAGGGGATGAGTGACAAGCCATTTAGAAGTGACATTTCAGTAGGAAAAGCAGGACAGAACAAGGGCTCCTAACCTAGTGCCGGAGACCTCTGCCTCTTGGAAGGTTTTTCCAGAAACAAGGTTGGGTCGCTCTGGCTAAAATCGTGACTATTTATTGAGCACCTGATATGGGAAAATGTGAGTCTCGTACACATGGGGAGGGGACTCCCTGTATAAATGCTGAAGGGGACCCGTGGAGTAGGGTTAAGTGCCATTAGGAAGTGGGACTCGCTCAGATGGAAAGGGCTCCTGTCACTCCACACCATCAGAGCTGGAGAGGCTCCTAGACAGAGGCCTGTGCAGAACTTAACATAACTCATAACTAGGCCTCATCGCAGCCAGGGTCCCTTCAGGGGAAAATCCTGTGTGTGAGCCTCTCCCTTCTCTAGGGGAGCTGTTCCCAAGGGCTTCTCCAAATGGGCCAGCCTGCCTTGTTTTGACCCTCTGGAGGGAAGATGAGGCTGTGTCAGCTCAGGTATGCAAGGAAGACTCTGAACCTACTCACGAGGGTGCCCAGCTCCCCCATGACACATCCTTGCTGCTATCCTCACAGGATCTGTAGCGAGGACATCGAGTGCAGTGGACTGACTATCCCCAAGGCTGTGCAGTACCTGAGCTCCCAGGATGAGAAGTACCAGGCTATCGGGGCCTATTACATCCAGCACACCTGCTTCCAGGATGAATCCGCCAAGCAACAGGTAACTGGCCAAACATCTTCCTCCCAGTAGTCCTGGGCAGGGCCTGGGCATGGCAGCCTGACCCTGCATTTGGAGATGGGCAGGGGCACATGCAGTTGCCTCCTTCTCACCCTGCCCAGCTGGCAGAAAAAGAGTATGCCTGGCATTGCCCAAGGTCAGAGCTGGCATCTTAATGTGCAAAGCAAAGCCCACTGTTGAGTGGACATTAGAGGAGTACATTTCCACCCGTTGGCTATGGAAGAGAACTTTCAGTGAGAGCTATGGGTCAACAGAAATCTCTTCTCAAATTCCAGTGAGGAACACGACTACCCCTGTCTCTCCACTCTCTCCCCCTACCTCTCTTCCTCCCATAAGCTTCTTCAGGTGGGGCTGGCAGAAAGAACACCCACAGGCTCTGCAGTCCAGCCCAAGATGTTGTGCCATAAATTCGTTTCCTTGCAGCCAGGGTTAGTCAGCATGGAAGTTTCCAGTAGGAGAAAGAAGATTCCAGGAGAACATCTCTCTTCTGTCTGTGCTCTGCCTGAGATTCTGAGGTGCCTATGTATACATTTGCTCATCCAGCTCTCACCACCGTGCTGCAGAGGAGGAAAACAGGGTTCAGGAAAGAGGGGCAGCTTGCTGGCAGTCACCTGGCTAGGATGCAAAAGGGCTAGGATCTGAATCCATGTCTTTTGGGTTCTGGGCTGGGTCAATTACCGTTACCTCATGCTACTAATCTATTTTGATTTGCTTGAGTGTTTCTAAACTGAAAGTAGACTTTTTGGTCTGAGAAATATCTGCTTTCAGCAGAGAATAATTGGCTCGGCTTCCTCCTACCCCAGTCCCCACTGACAGGCAACTCTTCCTGCAGGTTTACCAGTTGGGAGGCATCTGCAAGCTAGTGGACCTCCTCCGCAGCCCCAACCAGAACGTCCAGCAGGCTGCAGCGGGGGCCCTGCGCAACCTGGTGTTCCGGAGCAACCCCAACAAGCTGGAGACCCGGAGGCAGAATGGGATCCGAGAGGCCGTCAACCTCTTGCGGAGAACGGGAAGCACGGAGATCCAGAAACAACTGACAGGTAGGGGACGCAGCATGGAGAGCCAGGTGGGGCTGTGCAAGGCTGCTGGGGGTGGCTCGTCTCTGCCGGGCCTGACCAAGTCACACCTGTGCAGATTTGGCCTGGGCTGCCATCCTAGGAGCCCAGTGGCACTAGCCTTAGCCAGATTAGCACATTTTCCCATAGTAGGTGCTCTTGATTTTAGCTAGAGCAACCCAACTCATTTCGAGAAAAGTCATCCAAGAGGCAGAACTCTCTGGCACTGGGTCAGGAGCAACCTTGCCCTGCACTGCTTGTCATCTTGCAACTACCAGTCCAATGTCACCCCTAAATGCTGACCGTGGGTTGGTGTCACACACACACACCCCCACAAGAGGTTCTGGTCTTTTTGAGAGTAGAGTGCAAGAAGAGAAAGGCTGGTATCCAGGCAGGATCCATATGCAGCAGAGCCTGGGATTTGTGGGTCCAGGAGAGAGAGCAAAGTTGTTGGGGTCTTTAGCACTCACCTGTGCATCAGAGAAAGATTTCACTGTGAAGACCTGAAATTCCACCAGGACAACAAGTCCATGTGGAGAGTAACAGTTGAGAAGGAGTTCTGAAAAGACTTTCAGATGGAAAACAGAGAACGTTAGAAGACCCCAGGTGCTAAAATTTATATTTAAAACCACTGATTAGGGACTGATGGCGTACACCTATAATCTCAGCTAACTGGGAGACTGAAGCAGGAGAATCTCAAGTTCAAGGCCCGCCTGAGCAACTTAGCAAGAAAGACCTCACCTCCAAAATAAAATTTTTAAAAGGGCTGATGAAGCTAGGGGTAGAGTGCTTGCCTGGTATGCACAAGGCCCTGGGTTCAATTGCCAGTATCTGAATAATAAGTAAATATTAAAGCCACTGATCCATCAAATATATTTTGGTCACCATCCATGTGCTATATTTTGACCTCAACAGAGAAGTCTAGGTGTTACCTGTCCTCAAAGGACCCTCAGTCCAGTGGGGACATTGAGAATGGGGTCATAAAGGAGTCAGAAAATAGGTTCAATGGACCAAGGCCACCAGAGAGGCTCCATGTGCTAGAACCCAGGCTTAAGGCAGGGGACCCCTGGTTCCTCTGAGCCACAAGTTCTGAGGTGACAGTCTCCATCCCTCAGGGCTGCTCTGGAACCTTTCTTCCACTGATGAGCTAAAGGAGGAGCTGGTGGCCGATGCCCTTCCTGTTCTGGCTGACCGGGTCATCATTCCCTTCTCGGGCTGGTGTGATGGCAACAGCAACATGTCCAGGGACACAGTGGACCCTGAGGTCTTCTTCAACGCCACAGGCTGCTTGAGGTGAGAGAAGAGGGCACAGGGAGTCTTTCCACCCAGCCCTGGCCCCTTCCCCAGGCAGTGCCATCTCTGGCAACACCTGGCCTGGCCAGAGAACACTGCATCCAGCCTGGCCCTGGATCTCGGGAGCAGGCAGGCTCCAAGATGAGGGACCAGGCATGGCTTACTAATGTCCTAAGGTCTGGGTGAGGCTCAGGATCCCATCACCTTCCTTGACACAATTAGGAACTGAAGAGTGGAAATGGCTGGATCTAAATATTCAAACTGGTTCAACAATCCACCCCCCTCCACTCCTGGAAAAATGCATTTCTTGTACTATCTTGAAGAGCATTCTTTTAGACAAAAGTCTACTGATTGGCTACTTATGAGTCACTTTCCCACTGTGGTGCCGTAACCATTTGCCATGTTCGTTGGCATGAAGATGGCACACTTTGCCCAAAGTTGTCTGAGTTCCACACAAGGGTGTGGCAAAGCCCCTGTGAGGCTGCTAGAGGAGGGATCTGGCTCTGCTTCTTCTCAGAGCAGAGGTTTATGAGCTGAGGGGTGAGCGCCCATCTGGAGTGTGGGATGGTATAGCAGGATCCCCCTTGGGGTCGTATATTGCTCCTGTAGGGTTTGTCTTCCCCAACTCCTGAGAATCCCGAGTGGTGAGTGCAGGTGCCATGAACTTCTGTGTCTCAACTTGTGCTTCTCCCACCAGCCTCTAGCAGCAGCCTCCACGGAGCAGACTGGGGAGATGAAAAGCCAGTTAATTAAGGACTTTATGGGGCTGCTGGAAGCAACAGCAGACAACACACACACACAGACACACACACACACACACACACACACACAGGCACACATGCACCACCGCCACCATCAGGCAGAAGGACCCACCTTGTACGGGGATGAGCTATGCGGTGGCAGAACACAGCTTGCGGGGGAGGGGGGTCCACCTGGTCCCTATGGAAGCCCTTCAAGCTCCATTCCCCCATCCCGCACCCCAGAGAGATTCTTCCTATCCCACAGAAGATGCCTATCCTACAGGACCTTCCAGCTTTGGCCCTGCCCCACCCACTAGACGTGGTGGCTGTCTAGTGGGGCGTGGGGCCTGCCACCTACAGTTTCCCGTGGAGCCATTGAGAGTGAAGGGCCTGGAGACTAAATAATTTTTTCTTTCCTTCCTTTCTTCCTTTCATTTTCCTCCTTTGCTCTTTTCTTCTCTTTCCCCTTCTCTTCCTTCCTTCCTCCTGCTACCACAACCTCCAACCTCCCCTGCCCATCCTGTCTGCCTGCTCCTCTCCCACCTGCCCCTGCATGTCCCCCTGCACTCTCTCCTCCCTCCCTGTCCTCTCCTTGCCTCACTGCCCACATCCTCCTCTCTCTGTTCTGTGCCCCAGGAATCTGAGCTCTGCCGATGCCGGCCGCCAGACCATGCGGAATTACACAGGGCTCATCGACTCCCTCATGGCCTATGTCCAGAACTGTGTGGCAGCCAGCCGCTGCGATGACAAGGTGAGAGTGCAGCCCCTGGTGACACCTCAGCCTCAGTGTCCAGACTTGCCAAGCCCAGAGCCACCATTCAAATCAGTGAGGCCAGATCCTCAGACTCCAGGTTCTGCCATTTCTGTCTCCCAGATCCCACGAGTCAGGGTTCATTCTCTGCGTGGCTTTGAGCCTGGCCCTGGTGACAGAACAGACAGAGTCTAGGGCAGCAGAGGAGGTGTTGGAGGCCAGGCGCAGCAAACAGGCGCAGACTCGGGGCCACACGGTTCCTGGTACTCGCGATGTGTCCTGGGGCTTCCATGCCCTTCCTTCTACCACAGCTCTCTTCCCACTGCCTCCAAAAATGCCATTGGCAGGCCACCTCCTGCCAGCAGAGACAGAAGGGACGAATCATGAAGGGAAGATCAGCTGCAGGCTGGGTTACTTCCACCACAGCCGAGTGGCTCAGCAGGCAGGGAAGTCCAGCAGTGCCCAGGGGTCAGGCAGGGCCTCATGGTACTTGAGCCCTGAGTGCCATTTCCTTGAGGAGGGATTTTATCTCCTCTTGCCTCCCCTGGAAGTGACAAAAGGGCCCCAGAGGACAGCCTTGTCACTTGGCTGCCCTGCCTGGTTCCCGTGGGCAAAGTGCTTTTCTGCTCAGGAAGCCAGATTTCCTCAGACCCCGGCAGGGACCAGGCATGGCTAGGAGGGTAAATCTGCTACCCCCCAGCCTAGAGGCCTACCAAGGGCAGGTGACAAGGATGTGGGCCCAGCAGGCTCTGAGTCCTAGGTCCTGGAGCTCACTGTCCGTATGCTATATGCATAGGTGACATTGGAGGCTGAGGAGCAGCTGCGAAAAGAGCAAGCAGGAAGGGCAGTGGGGAGGAGGGAACTTTGGCACCCACCGGACTGGGGTGCTCCTTGGGGAGGCTGTTCCAGAGGGAAGATGCATTCTTCAGCACTGCAGCCTTCCAGTCAGCACACATCAAACTGTCCCCAATGCCATCGAGACCCAAGAAACGTCCCATGACTGGTACTCACCATGCACAGCTGGATCCCAAGGATGCAGGGGCACCCTGTATAACCTTCCCAGTAGCCATTGGAGTGATTTCAGTTCCATTTTACAGCTGAGGAAACTGAAGCCCACAAAGGCGAGGCAGGTCACTCAGGTTCAAATAGCCAGGAAATGACAGAGCCAGGATTCAAATCCAGGTCCCAGCAGAGTCCCTAGGAGATCCCTGCAGGCTGAAGGTGCAGTGGTCTTCTGTTCATCTCTCTGGATGCTGCTCTGGTCACTCAGGTGGGTGGAAAGCCCAGAGCCCCCTGGGGGCTTGGCGGTGGCTCACGTGCCTGCTTCTGCTTGCTCCACAGTCTGTGGAGAACTGCATGTGCATCCTGCACAACCTCTCCTACCGCCTGGATGCTGAGGTGCCCACCCGCTACCGCCAGCTGGAGTACAATGCCCGCAATGCCTACATGGAGAAGTCCTCCACCGGCTGCTTCAGCAACAAGAGCAATAAGATGATGGTGAGCACCGGGCAGAGCCAGGGCCACCCGAGGGCCACTGCCCTACCCACCCTTCCTCTTGGCTTTCCTGGGGCCTGAAAGCAGCCCTAGGGGCCAGGCCTCTGCCAAAGCCTCGGCCTTGGAGTGTGCTGCTCTCTCAGAGCTGGAGAGGGCCCTCCATCTGCACAGTGAGGGGATCTGCCTTCTGGTGCCCACTCCAAGGGCAGGCCTCATCTCCCATCTTCTCTCTGACCCGTAAGGCCAAGGGGCAGCCAGAACTCAGACCTTTCTCGGGCACCACCTCCAGAACCCCCCAAGGAGGACACAGTGGAAGGAGGGTCAGGTCTCCTCTCCTGGGCACAGCTGGAAACCAGGCCCAGACCGTCCCTGGGGATCTAGGGCAGGTCAAACCCACATTCTGACCCCAAAAGGGAGGAAGCTTCTTGCAGTGAGACCCCAGAGAGCCTCACGAGGCTGGAAGGTCCCAGCTGAGGCTTCCCTGAAGCACACTTCCTGAGGTAACAGGAATGCCACCTGCCCCCCTCAACCCCGAGACAGCGGAGGACCTTTCTGTGGCATGCTGGGATATACAGGCGCCCTGACTCTGCAAGCACTTTCTCAGTTCCTCTTGTCAGTCACCACGACCCTGAAGTTCAGGGAGGGAAAGGATGCTCCACTCGTGTCCCCTGACCTGCTCTCTGTCCTCAGAACAACAGCTATGAGTGTCCCCTTCCCGAGGAAGAGACCAACCCCAGGGGCAGCGGCTGGCTGTACCACTCAGATGCCATCCGCACCTACCTGAACCTCATGGGCAAGAGCAAGAAGGACGCCACCCTGGAGGCCTGCGCTGGCGCCCTGCAGAACCTGACGGCCAGCAAGGGGCTGGTGAGGGGCCCCTCCCGCTGCTCCCCGCACTCCAGGCTCGGTTCCCCGCTTTTCCCCCCAGCCCGTCCCTGGCCTCGTCTGTCAAATGCATGCAGGCTGTGAGCTTCGGGCTGCAGAGATGAGCATGAGAGGCCCTGGCCTGGGCATGGAGGCTGTGGGAGATGGCCCTGCTCTCCGGAGCTCGGGGTGGTGCCCACTAACCTGTTTGCCTCTTGGATCCCGGCCCAGTGCTGGCCTCCTGACTACCTGGGATGGAGAGTGTGTTTGGCAGGAGCCTCCGTTTGGTGAATTGACAGAGTCGAAAAAGAATTTGGCATGTGAGCAGGTTCAGAGGAAGATGTAACGGGACTAGAACAGGTTTCAAACCCAAACACAGTTTTGGGGACGTGATGGTATACAGAGGGGCTGGAGAAGGCCTACAGGTCACTAACTGTCCCCTGGCTTTACTTAGGATGAAATGGACTTGGGCAGCAGCGGATGCTAATGGCCTAAGAGTAAAGGAAACTTGCCTGCGAGGGAGAGAGGCTGGGGTTTCCGTGAGCCCAAACTGGCCCAGCCCAGGCCCCAGCAGGATACCTTGTTGTTCAGAGGCCTGGATGAGCTGGGCTACCTCCAAGGGACCCCAAGTATATTTCCATGGGGTCCCAGACTATGACTGATCCATCTTTATCTCAGGCAAGCCCATAATAAATATGATTGGAATTTCAGCACAGGTAGGGAAATTGGAGGATAACGGTTTTTTGTTTGTTTGTTTGTTCATTTTGCAGTGCTGGGTTTAGAACTCAGGCTCTTGTGCATGCTAGGCAAGTGCTCTACCATTGAGCTACACCCCTAGCCCTGGTCCTTTTTTAATTGACAAAGGCCTTTGACCATGTTCCCTGTGAGCAGGTATTTCTGGGAAGGGTATTTGAGGGAGGCAGAGCTGAGACAGTTGGGTAAGGTATGGACACTTTAGAAGCTGACTCTCGGTCACCATGAGTGAGAGAAATGAGATTCTCCCTCCCAGCTGGGCTGCAAGCTGTCATCCAGGGGGCAGGGAGCAAGGGCAGGAGGGGGCAAGTGAGCCCAAGTTCTGTTGGCACCCAGGTGTGAGCAATTTCTGTGTCTGCCCATGCTTCCAGTGTGAAGGACAAAAGGTCCCGGGTTCTGGGATTGGGATTCCTGTCGCTTTCTGCCTGCCTGGTGCTTGGGAAGCCATGAGCCAGCTCTTCCCGGGGCTTCTCTCGTAGATGTCCAGCGGCATGAGCCAGTTGATTGGACTGAAAGAAAAGGGCTTACCACAAATTGCCCGCCTCCTGCAATCTGGCAACTCGGACGTGGTGCGGTCCGGGGCCTCCCTCCTGAGCAACATGTCCCGCCATCCTGTGCTGCACAGAGTGATGGGTAAGAGCGCCTGCCCCTTCCCCCTCCGGACAGGACATGGCAGGCTGCCCATGTTCCAGAGCCTGCGGGAAGGTCACTCTTGAACCATTCCCCAGGGTGAGCATTCAGAGGGGAAGCTGGCCGAGGAGATGGGAAGGAGCGGTCTCTGAGGTGGGCAGGACTGCAGAGGTCTCCTCTGGATTGGAACTGGCATGGAGCCCTGTGGGGCCACCTAGCTCAGAGCCCGACCGAGGGCAGCCTAGGACTGTGGCCCTGGAGGGAGCCCCTCAGCCCCTCCTTCCCTTGGCAATCCTGACCCTGTGGCAACTCCTTCTCTCCCAGGGAACCAAGTATTCCCAGAGGTGACTAGGCTCCTCACCAGCCACACTGGCAACACCAACAACTCGGAAGACATCTTGTCTTCGGCCTGCTACACTGTGAGGAACCTGATGGCCTCGCAGCCGCAGATGGCCAAGCAGTACTTCTCCAGCAGCATGCTCAACAACGTCAACAACCTGTGCCGCAGCAGGTCTGTGGGGAGCAGACGGCGCCCCCTGTCAACCTTCCCGCAGTATAGCCCCTCTCCCTCCCTACACAGAGGCACTGAGGTGGACGTGGGAAAGCATCTAGTACAAGGAAGGGCAGGTGTGAGGCCTCTGATGGGAGAGCAATTCCAGAAACCAAGAGTGCTGGAGGCTACAGGCATAGTTTCTAGGTCTCAAGGCTGGACAGAGGGACAGAGGCAGTGCACTTCTTGGCTGGGGGACATGCAGGGGCACTGGGTCCTCAGAGGATCAGCAGGAGACATGGGGCAGCAGACCCAACTGCATGGGAGCTTTGGTGTGGTCCACAGGGCTCCATCTCCCCAGCACAAGGGCTGCAGGACCAGCTAATGGCCCCCAGGGTGCCTCTAGGTGGGCAGGGGTGGGGTTGTGCCCCTCTGTCATGTATCCCATGCATGCTAAGGATGGTGGGAGGAAGGGTCATTCTGTTACCTCCTGGCAGAGGATTTTTTTCTCACAATCACACTTCTCACCTGCCCAGCACCTCACCCAAGGCTGCAGAGGCTGCTCGGCTCCTCCTGTCTGACATGTGGTCCATCAGGGAGCTGCAGGGTGTCCTCAGACAGGTAAGGTCCCACCCCACAGCCCCTTCTGATGTGCCCTGTACTGAAGTCCCAGGGGACCAAGAAGGGAGAGACAGATTGATGCCCACCATGCCAGGGGAGACTCCCACCCAAGGAGGGTCTGAGAATCAATGATCTTGATCAACACTGCCCAAACCCCCAGGCTCTGGGATCTACTAGGGTCACTGGGTGTGTGAAGGGCAGAGGAAGTATGTCAATGTCCTGGAGCAGGGTGGTTTAGGAGCAAACTGACGAAGCAAGGGGAACAAAGAGCACACAGGTCATTTGGGAGGGGGTAGATGTGCACTTAGGCTGAAAGGCAGGTTTGGGCTGGATTACAAAACTGCTTCAGTTGCAGGCCAAAGAGTTTGGACTTGTGCCTTTGTGCCAATCAAGGCTTTGAATAGAGGGTCTCATGATGGAAGCATGATGAATTCCACACCAGTGCAAGAGACAGAGTAGACCCTCGAGGCCGTTGTGCTTGTCTAGGGTGACCTTTGTCCCCTGTGTCCTCAATGACCCCCAGTGCAAGCAGGCACCAAGGCCTCTCTCCGGGCTTGTGATATGTGACTTCTCCACATGACCTTTCTTTCCCAGTCCTGCAGCAGCCATTCTTTGGGCTGAGATGTGGGCAGCAGAGAGGTGGAAATAAACGACTGGGGATGGAAGAAGCAGAAGTGTAGGACTGATGACTCTCAGAGCTTTCACTTAAAGACACTGTGATCAAATTAACAGAAATATATCAGTTGGCAAGAGGTCCAGGAAGCTCATGGAGTGAGTTGAGTCTGGACAACTTGGGTGGGGGCCGAGCAGGATGTGGTGTGGGACCCTAGCAGAGAGGCTAGAGCTGCAGTGCAGACTGGTGAGGGCCATGAGAATGGGCAAGACCCTCATGGGGCTCGTGACTACGGGTGAGACTTCGGAGTCAAGGGCAGGCCCACAAAGCCCTCACCTGGGGCTGAGAAGGAGGAAGGAGAGAGTGTGTACGGTGCCCAGGAAGGGGTGGAAGACCTTGTGGGAAAGGAGAAAGTTCCCAGGGATGGTGGGCAGCATTCCCAGTGCCATAGAGGGGACAAAGAGGATGGAGTCCAGGAAAGGCCCTGCATCTGTCTGGTGCTTCAGAGTCTCAAGGGGACCTCCGAGCACTTCTGCCCAGCAACGGGAGCATCGTGGAGCTGGAGTGGGTGAGGTGATGATGGGAATCAGGGTGTTGGGGGCTACAGTTTGGCCCTGAAAGGAAGGAAAGAGGCTGTGTGTGGAAAGGGGCCTGTTAAAGACAGGGGATCCAAGCATCTTAGTCATGAGAGGGAGAGCGGGAGGAGGGAGAATGAGGGGGATGGAGGAGGAGGAGGATGCACACCCATGTGTCCCCCCCCGGGCAGGAGGAGGGACAGCTGCTCTCCGGCACTGCAGGGAAACAGTAGAGGGCCCAGGAAGTCACTGTGGCCCAGGAGACTTGGGAAATCTGCATGCAGACAGTGGCCCTTGTTCTGCACTTGACCATCCAGAGCCCTTCTTTGAAAATGCTGCCAGGAGAGTGGGCTTAGCCAAGCGCAGCTGCCAGGCGAGCCCCGGAGAAGGGAAGAGACAGGTAAGGAGAACAGGGCGAGAGCTTCCTCAAGCTGTCTGAGGGAGCTCCAGTGGATTCAGCTCCTCGCTCCTGGCTGAGCTGCTTGGGGAATGCACTTACTGCGCTTCCTGTGAAGTCCCTTCCACATGGTGCCCTTGGGAACCACTCGTCTCCACTCCAGCTGTGCCTGACAACAGCCCGGGCAGGATCCAGGTCGAGCTTCTGTTCCTGACACGCATTCATATCCACCATTCATTGCCTTGTCACAAGCACGGTGAGACAGGCCACATGGCTTATGCCCATTTTGCTGACAAGGGACTCAAGGTCCGAGGAGTTTGTCTGGATTCAGCAAGTCAGGGCAGGAGGAGAGCCTTTCACTTGCACGTTCTTTCCACCCAATTCAGCCAAGCTGAACAGGAGCAAGCAAGCACATCTGCTGGGGAAAAACGACATCATGCACTTCATGCCCAAGCACAGTAGGACTGGGGCTCGGGCTGGCTGCTGTTATGCACCCTGTCATCTCCTCTCCTCTTCCCGTGGGCCTGTGATACAACTCAGACCTGACCAGGACCCTCTGCTGAAGCCCCCCGGCCAATGGCTCCTCCAACACTATGCCATCCTCACTGCCCCTGGAGCCTGCACTGAGCACTTGCTCTCTACTAGAGAAAGAACAAGATCGAGGCTCAATCTGCCCCCAGCAGGAGCTGGAGCTGGGGCTGGGGCTGGGGCTGGGCTGACGATGGGGAACGGCTGCTGATGGGAGCTGCCCCTGACTTTGAGAAGCACTGGGCCCATCCTCCCTGCCCAAGAGCTCTTGTTGGATTTTAAAAAACAAAAGAAAGAAAAACAAAGACAGTCAGAAGAAACAAAAACTCAAGTTCTTGTAATCTGATTTGGATTTTTGTGCTGCATAGAGTCATGAGTACCAGCCTAAATTCTCATGCCTTGACTTGGGTTTCTGCAAAAGTGAGCAAGAAACTCACATGAGCTGATGAGGAGCCAAACACAGTTTGCTAACTCATGGGTATTAGCAGCTTAATGGTGGCACAGACCATTAGGCCAGCCTCAGCCCCAGCTTACATACACAGTAGTCAGAACACCTCCGTGCAGAGGTCAAGGGAGCCGAGGCTGCTCCTTCTGGGAGGGCAGTTTCTGACCCCAAGGAGTCTCACACAGCTTTGTCTTTGGGTGTGTCACACAGTACCTGTTTCTCCCCTTGCAGCAAGGTTTCGATAGGAGCATGCTGGGAACCCTAGCCGGGGCCAACAGCCTCAGGAATTTTACCTCCCGATTCTAAGAAGAGACTGTCCAAGCAAGCTCAGCTTGCAGGTAAGAATCTTCCCATCTCAGGGCCAGGGACACCTGCAGGACGACTGCTGCAGCCTCAGCCAAGTGCAGAGCGGGGGCTAGGCCTGGGCTCCACAGGAACACAGAGCCCTCCCCTGGCCTGCTAGTCAGCCTGGCTCCGTCTGACAGGAGGATTTGAAGGCAGCTGTGTAGACCCTGGCTGAAGGCATGGGCTGTGCACCACTGACATGAGAGATGGTAGCACCAGAAGTGCCAGGGTCAGGGAGGGACTGCTAGTTACAGCTGTGTAAGTTCCCCGCTGTCCAACCCAGGACTGTGGGGTTATAGAATATGAGTAACTGGAGTTACACAATAGTCCTCCATGGCTCACTTTTCTATCCTTATAATCCACTTTCCAGTCTCCGAACATACCTATTTATTTATATACCAAGCTTATTTCCAGCTGAGATTTAAGGGACCAGAAACTCAGAACCAATACTTTGTCAAAGGTTTGTGAGCCTTAGCATTTGTTAGAGTCTTCTGAGGTGCTGGCTAAAATGCATACTCCTGATCCTGGCCCCAGTTGTTCTGATTCGGTAGCCACAGAGTGGGGTCCAGGAAAATGTATTTGTGAGTAAGTATCCAAAGTGCTCCTGAACCGGTCATGGTGGCGCATGCCTTAATCCCTGGAGGCTAAGGCAAGAGGATCTCAGTGAGTTCAAGATCAGCCTGAACTTCACAGAGAGACCCTGTCTCAAAAACAAACAAAATGAAATAAAACAAAGTGCTCCTGGTGCAGGTAAACCGAGAACCACAGCTAGATACTGAGAGCAGATGCCAGCAAACCTAGAGAGGAGCCCAGAGGCAGCCCCAGTGTGGAGCCATCTGCAAATCGCCAGGAATGAGGATGAGGCCTCCTGACCTCTCAGCCTAAACCATGTTTGGGCAACTACCTAGACCTGAATCCCGGGGAGGGTCTTGGTGGGGAGAGAGGGCTGAAACCGTGTTGGGACAAACTGTGTCTGAGTACAGCGCTCCAGATAGATGAGCTTCAATAACGTAAGGTCAGGAAAGGGGAGAGTGGGCTGCAGATTTCTAATGAGCACGTGACGCTTAGCCTCGAGCAGGGGAGCAGGGGTTGCTGGGAGCGGCAGGCCACAGCCAACCAGCGAGCCGGTGGGTTCCTAAACCGACAGGAACTGGTCAAGGGTGGCTCTGAATCCACTCTCAGGTCAGAGCACACCCAAGGACAGATGCAGGTGGCAGGGGGTGGCAGTCTGTGCTGCTCTTACTGGGACAGAACCATCGTACCCCATGCTAACTTGAGGATTGCTCTTTTTCCAGAAGGCTATGACCCAGTTGAGAAGACCTCAGGCCTCGCTGGATGGATTTTTCTGTCCATCTTGTGCAGTATTTGGAAAGTTTCAAATGCATCTGAGAGCAAACCTGGAAACTGTGGAGGGTGGAAATATTTTTAGGTTCGTTTTTTTTCCTTGGGGGAACTAGCAGGCAATGGGGATTGGGGAGGTGGGGGGCCCTCTCTTTCTTTTTTTTTTTTTTTTTTTGGTACCGGGGATCGAACTTGGGTCCTTGCGCTTGCACAGCAGGCAGTGAAAGCACTGAGCTAAATCCCCGGCCTGGGGGGAGAGGGGCTTTCTTGAGTTAAAGGGACTCTTATATCTGATGTCAACACTTCCTCCTCTGAGAAATGATACGTGTGTGTGTGCGCGCGCGTGTGTGTATACATGTGTGTGTGTATAATGTGAGTGTGCGGTCACGTGTGTGTGCATGTATTGTGTGCTTGAGTGCCTAACAGCATTACCACAAGCTGCAGAAAGATCGGTAGGTGTGCCCTTTCATTGCAACTTGTAAGGCAGTACAGAGGACTCTGTGTCTCTCCCTTGTAGGCAAGGGCAACATGTGCTTTGGGGTTAGTTGCCCATAGATCTGGGAGTGGGTTGTGCCAGGCTGGTGTCAGTACACAGAAGAGTCCTGCAGCCTTCCTGCTGCCATCTCCCAGGGGTGTGGCTGGGGCTGACCTCCCCCTTAAGAAGCTGCTGCAGGCTGGGAAGTTCAGTGTATCACACAGGACAATCCTATGTGTCTGACAATACTGCTCTTCCCTAGGGTTGGGCAGGGGATGGGACACTGGAGGCAGAAGGTGCTTCCTTAGCTGTGTAAGGACACTGGGGAGCAGACACCAAAGAGATAGGATTTGTCATCCTCCAGGGCTGTACACACAGAGCAGCTTCAAGCTGCAAGCCCTGCTTTCAGGAAGCCTGTGATGTGCTTATTGCAGGAGAAAGAAGGCAAAAATGGTGCTTGGAGCCAAAGGCTGTTCAGGGAATGGCTGTTTGATCTTATCTTCCCTGTGGAGAGAGGAATAGGCAGAGGCTAGAGCCGGGCATCTGCCTACTCCAGCTTCCAATGGGATGGGAGAGGCATATTGGATATTACTAACAGGTATTTCCCACCAAGCCTGCCAAGAGAGAAGTGAGGGAGAGTCTGGTGTCCCGGGAGACTGGAGAAAGGGAATTCAAATAGAGCGGGAAGGGGGAGTGTCCCCACAAGTGCACCTCCCTTGTTTTGACCCGTGCTGAAAGGCCTGCTCCTGGCTCTCCTTCCTTCCCAGGGGCCCCCTGAGAGCCTGTTCCACCAGCCCATCCCAAGAGTAGGTTTCAGGCTATCTCTGCCACTCCTCAGGACCCAGAATGATCCATTTCTTAAAACGTTTATGGGGCACCCGCTCTGTGCCAGGCAGAGGGTTCTAAGCACTTGGAATAATTTCGAGAACAAAACAGCCCTTGACCCTGTCCTGGATTATGCTGTCCTGGGGTTGAAGGGAGGTATGACATGAGGCCCTTGGATTTAGAATCCTCCAATTACAGAGGACTGCAGTCCAGCCAGAACAAGAGGGTAATAAATCGCTACACATGAATTTTATAAGCCCAGGGGGGTGCCCTGCCCCCCAGCATGGGCCGGGCTTCCTGCCACCTCTTGGTTCAGTTTCCGTCTCCCCAGAATGAGGAATCAGGTGGGCCCATCCCTCTGCTTTGCGAATGAGGCAGCTACTCCAACCTCAGGGGCCTGGCATGAACAGTTAAGCAACCTCTCTGATGCTCTCTCAAGCTGGCCAGGTGGGCTGTTCGCCTGGGCCTCTGAGCATGCCTGTTACTTGGGAAGAACAAGAGGGGAGGGCTTGAGGATGCAACTCTTAGAGAAAGGCCTTCACTGGGCTTTGTGTATCTGATGCACACCCTAGTATCTTAAGTGCACATTGGCCTCATGCTACAAGGGTCAACACTCAAAACAGGAAGTTCTGGTTTGGGGACAAATGAGGAAGGACGCCAATCCCATGCCCGCCTTGAGTCCGGGGAGTCCTGTGCTTAAGAGTCACTGACCACCAGTGGCTTCTCCAGCAGGGCTCCATCCCACAGTTCTCTGGGGACCCCAGCGACAGGATACTCTTTGCTGGCTGAGAGATGGGTGATGGGGCTCCGGGATAAGCAGGGAGGGAAGCCCAGGATGCTGCAAGGAATCTGAGAGATGCCCTCTAGCCCATCCCCTTCCGTCATGTTTGTGTAAGAATCTCGGGCTGGTCAAGCTCAGTTTCCCTGTATGATACACCACGTATATGCTTTCCTGTATGTGCATGTGTTTTGTTTGTTTGTTTGGTTTTTTTGGGGGGGGGAATATAAGAAATCAATAAATTGTTAGTGTTTCTTTGAACTTTTTCAAACTCTGGATTATTTGGGGTGCTGTTGAAGAATGAAGAGGCCCTCACTTCCTTCTAAGACCTACTATTACTGACACCACACCAGGGAAAAGATAGAAAATGCCACCCAAGAGCAGAGAGACAGCAGGCTTCCACCTTAGCCCATGTAAGCCTCACTGTGGCTTTGTGATGCCAGGATCGCCATCCTGATTTTACAAACAAAGCAGAGCTGTAGGAGGGGACAAATAGGCTTCAGTGTTACCAGCTTGTAAACGAAAAAGTCACCCTAAGCATGTCCCTACCCAGGCAGGATCCTGTAAGAAAGACAACTTCGAGGCAACATCCAAAGAGACACTGTCTCCTGAGGCCTCCTCTGCTGGCTCTGTATCAGGTACTGGAGAGTCGAAAACACAAAGGAGATGGAGGGCCCAGCATCAAGAGATCCCTAAAGGATAAGACATGCATGTGGAACCTTCTGAGACACACAGAGTAAATTCTAAGGATGGTACCGACATAACAGCTTGGGCCACCTGGGGAGAGGCAGGGATGCTCGGGGAAGGGCTAGAGGGGAGCTTTCTGCAGCCTGGAAGAGTGGTGACTGCAGGGCCTCTACCACTGCCAGTGACTCGGCCTCCCGGAGCATCTTACAGCTTAGTAAAGGCCAAGGAGCCCACAGGAGGGAAGGAGCCACCTGCAGCCCAGGGCGGGACAATGGCTTCCAACTGTGACCCAACCTACCAGATGCCCTAATCCAAAACTGTTTCGAGAACAGAAAAAACAGATACTGACTGCAAAATGAGAGGTCAAATTGCAATTTAAAAATCAATCCATGTTCACATTTGTTATGCATTCATCAAAATACAGCCTTTGGGGCAAAATGTGCACAACTTAAAATTCAGGTGCAACTCTGTGCCTCTCCTCGAGCTGAACAGCACCCAGACCAAGAAGCAAGACTTGACCACCACCCAAAGCCCACCTTGGGCCCCTTCCCCTCCTGTCCCCTTCCCCAAGGGCAACACACAACATACAGAACCACTATTCTTTTTTATTTCAGTAATAGGACTGAGCCCAGGGCCCCACGTACGCTGGGCCAGGGCTCTAGCACTAAGCTGCACCCCAAGCCCCGCCCCCCTCTTTTGAGACAGGGTCTTGCTAAGTTGCTCTGACTGGCTTTGAACTTGTGATCCTCCGATCTCAGCTTCTAAGTAGCTGGGATCACCATCCTGACATCTAACACCATATTTTCATTTTTCTCATGTTTGAATTTCACATCAAGGGGACAAATAGAAGCTCTTTTTTGTGTCTGGCTTCTTTAGCTCACCAGTGTGTGCCGTGAGATTCGTCACTCCTAGTGTACATCCCTAGTTCGCTGGTGTATGGCAGTGCATTGTTCAACTCTCCTGCAGTCCAAAGTCCACCACTGTTACATCTAGTATTTATAAACATTTGGAAACAATTTGTGCATTCCTTGCCTCAGTTCTCCCCAAATCCCCACGTGTGATACAAGTACTTGGAAATTACAGCTAACAGTAAAGAAATTAGATTTTCTGTGGACATGGGTGAATGCATGTGTAGGAGTGCCCGAGGGGTGCAGAGGTCTTAATTCAGCCATCCTTGGCCAAGAAGGTTGCAGGCCCTTATAGGGGTCTGGCTGAAAGCATAGGAAGGCCTTGGGTCCCAGGAGAGCAAAACAAAATGAGGAGACTTGGGGCCGGGGATTTAGCTCAGTGGTTTCTCCGCCTGCTGCGAAAGCACAAGGACCCGAGTTCGATCCCCAGCACCAAAAAAAAAAAAAAAAAAAAAAATGAGGAGACTGCAGGGGCAGCTGGAAGCCTAGGCGGCAAGGAAAAGCTTCTGTAAACCGGAAGGCCATGTCCCCAAAATCCTCATGTCAAAGCTGTCCAAAGGTCTATCTGCCTCTGAATCTTAAAGGCATTTTCTACTATTCCCTTTGCAGCTAAACTGGGCTAGGACCCGACTCCCCCCATGGAAGATAAAGGGTCATGTTTTAGAATGCAATGTATTGTGCTACCAGAAAAATTGGAGAAGAGTGGACAGAAGTTGTTAATAATAGTCTTCTTACCTGAGGGACCACACCTTTTTGAGTACTGGGGATAGAATGCAGAACCTTCACACTATGCTACATCCCCAGCCTTTTAAAAAAATTTTTATGTTGAGGTAGGATCTCACTAAGTTGCCCAGTCTGGGCTCAAATTTGGGACCCTCCTGCCTCAGTCTCCTAGAGTGCTGAGATTGTGGGTGTGAGCCACCACACCCAGGTGCTCTAACCCCTTTCACCTTCAAAGCCCTAGAGGATTCCTTTTCTGCTTGGAACTGCACTTCTTTCTGGTGAGACAGGCAGGGGACAGAATATTAAATTCCAATTTGCAGATGAGGAAACAGAGACTCAGAGAGAAAATGATTTGCCCAGAGTTGTATAAAAATTTTGTGGCAGAATCAAGCCTGAGACGCAGGTCTTACACATCCCAACCCAAATACACTCCCAAGACACTAGAACACAGTGGGAAACACTGCCAGGAAGAGAATACTGTGCGAGACCCAACTGTTAGGGCCTTGAGGCATCATACCAGTGCACCTTACGTGAGCTATGCAATATGCTGATAAATAAAATTCCGGTTCACAGGCTATCAGATGCCAGAAACTACTGTGTGTGCGTCAGCTAGGCTGGGGCCAGCTGGTTTGGTTAATTAGAATATGGGGCTAATGAGGCCAGGGCCACAGGCCAAAAAAACACCTCCGTGACCCCAGCAGGTGACCCTTTGTCCTGCAGACAACTGCCATGGGCTCAGCATGCTGGCTGTGTCATCTAAAGACACATCACCCCCTCTGGGAAGCACAGCAGAGCTGAAGAGCCCACTAGCAGAGGAGCAGAGAGCCATCTGTACACAGAAAGGACTTCACGCTTCCGAGGTCCCAGCCCCTTCGTCAAACATCAACAAGTTTCATGACTGATGGGTTAATAAATAAATAAAAAGCACTTCAGCTTCCTAAACCTGCTGGTGGCCAGTGCCCCCACCCTCCACACAAGGACACCACAACCCTGCTCTCTGCGCCTCTCTCAGAAAGGAAACTGAGCCCTTATGTGCTGCTCTGCATCCTCTGAGGCTCACACTGCTGCTTTCCGGGCCCCATAGTTGTTAAAGGACAGCTGGCGACAGGGGACAGGTGCAGCCCTTGAGAAGGTGGCCACCTAGACTGTGATCAACAGGGGTGGGCACTGGAACTCATTAGCTATCTTTAGTCTTCACATAGAGGCCACAGAGTAGGTACAACTTCCAGCTTGCAGATCATGAAACTGTGGTCCGGAGAGGCTGAGTAAGTTGTTGAAGGCCACACAGCTGGCAGGTGATGGGCTCAGGATTAGAACCAAGTGTGAAGGGAAGGCTGGCACTCTTGCCCCTTCGCTTTGTCTGCCATGTATGAAGTAGTTCTTGACACTCAGGTTGACTCCTGAGCTGCCCTTTAATGACTCTGTCCTCAGACCCTGCTGCCCCCTTGAACCTTCTGTAATCTGGGAGATCAGGACAAGAGTCTGGCCCCCAACTCGTGAACCACTCACTTTTCCTTTTTCAATTCAAGGAACTTCTAGGGACATAGTTCTTCTCCTCCAAAACACCTCTCAAGGCAAAAATAGAAGATAATATCCAACACCACTGAATCCTCAGAATGAGAAAAGACCAAGCCCCACCTCCTGGCCCCTCCTGACTCTGAAAGGGCTCACTTCTTACTCAGTCCCTGTGACTCTTTGTCTCTTAGAGCTGGTCCTGCAAGGTCCCATGTCTACCTGGCTTTGAGCCTTCCTGAGGGAAGAGCCTTCAGTCTTGGCCCCAACATAGTTCCTGTCTGCTGGATAGCAGCAAGGGTGTAGAGGGAGCTGAAGCCAAAGGTGCTGGGGAGGGAGGCTCTGGGTGGACACAGGGGTCCTCCCTCTGGAGCTGACCCACAACAGGGTTGCAAATAGAAAAGTCTTCAGAGTTCTCCTTAGCAAGCAGTAGTTACAAATTTCTGGCTCCAGAAGCCCAGACGAGAAATTCTGGGTAGGAGCTACAGCTCTCAAAAGATAGGGAGAACACACACACACACACACACACACACACACACACACACAGAGATCTGTGACAGCACAGATCTCTCTCTCTCTCTCTCCTTTTCTTGAACAATCTAGCTGAAAAGTTATATTCTCAAAAAGCCAAACTTCAGCTCTGTAATTTGCTTTCTACTTCATTGCTTTCTGCTCTTTATTATTCTCTTTCTTCTACTTTCTGTTGGGTTTATTTTGCTCAATTAGGGCATTGCAAAGAGGCTGGATGATAGTGTGACCTGTCAGTCTCAGAGTTCTGTCAAATCACAGCCAAGATGCATGCACAGAACAGCTTCCAATGGATTGGATCTGCTGTCAAAGCAAGATATAAAAGACTGCAGCCCTTGATTTTGTGGCCACTGCCCTCTTGTCTTGCAGTGGCCCATCCTGCATGCAGGGCATATCTCTTCTTCTCTTCAGGATGTTACCAAGTATGGGGTTGCTGGAGTCTCCTTCGCGAGGTGACTTTCTTAATTCAAAGAATTAAACAAAGAATGAAACAAGCAAAACAGTGGCAAAATTTCACATTTATTTGAGGTAGGAAAAATTAGAGGTAGGGTAAGGGAGAAACTGGCTTTGCAGAACAAGATTAGGCCAAGTAAAAATAAAAACAAAAGAAATAGGAAAAATAAAAATTCACACTAGAGAATATAGACCGGGCTAAAGGGTGGCATGTTAGCAAGCTCTTCATGGTGTTGGTGTTCCATCTTTTTACTCATTCCACACATCACAGGTCTCCTGAGAAGCCCACATACAGGGCTCTGGGGACCGTTCTGCGCATGGGTCCTGGGATTTTGTAATGAACAGGTCGCGCCTACTCCCCAGCCAGCTTTGCCATGCCCTGCCTTGCTCCCTCAGCACCGTTTCTTCTGGAGTACTTCTTTTCCTGCATTTTCTTCTTCACTTATCTTTCTT